ATTGTTGTTACTAGTATGGTTAAGTTTATACTTTTCCTAATATTAAACCAACTCTGCATTCTTTGTATAAATTCAACCTACCCATAGTGTGTAATCTTTTTGATATATTGTTTTAGCCTCTTTGTTAATATTTTATTTAAAATTTTTGTGCATCATGTTTGTTAGGGATATTGGTAAATAGTTTTAGGTATTTTATTTAAATTTACTCTGGTTTCTATATCAAATTCATATCCATGTTATAAAGTGAATTTGGTAAAAATTCCTTGTTGTTTTGCAAAAAAGTCATGAAATATTGGAATTAATTGGTTTTGGGGTGAATCTATGGCTTGTTCATACCCCCTCCTCGAAATTTGGTTATTTTAATTTTTTCTTGTTTTCCTAATTTGGATTTTAAAAATATAGTTTTTCGTTTATAAAAAATTAATAAAATGTATTTATAAAAATTTTAATTCCAAATTCTTTTCTTTCCTCTTGCCCATCCCCCATTTTGGAGTTTACATAGGACTTTACATTTTGTTTGATTTGGTTTTCTAATATTTTTAATTGCATTCCCATTTCATTTTTCTATCCTTTTTCTTTTGTTAAGAAAAGTGCTTTTGGATATACATAGTCTCCTAAAGATTTTGGGTGGTTTTTTTTGTTTATTTGTTTGTTTTTGGAGGATTTTTGTTTTGTTTTGTTTTTGGTTGGTTTTTTTTTGTTTTTTGTTTTTTTGTTTTTGTTTTTTTGGAAGCAGTCAGGATTAAGTGGACTGGCCCAGGGTCACATAGTTAGTAAGTGTCTGAGGCTGGGTTTGAATTCAGGTTCTCCTGACCCCAAGTTGGGTGCTCTATCCACTGTACCACCTGGCTGCCCAAGAGTTTTTATTTTTAAAATAAAATTTTATTGTATTTTAAAATATGAAAATATTCTTAGTTTGCCAGTGATACAAACCAGATGGTAGCTGCTGACCCTTGTTGTAAGTCATGATCAAATTTTTTTTTTTACGAAGCTATGCATTTTTTGGCAACTTGGTGGCAAAGGGGATAATGCTGGGCCTAGACTCATCTTTCAAATCTAGCCTAACACACTTTATCAGCTGTGTGCCCCTGGGCAAGTTAATTCTGTTTGCCTCAATTTCCTCATTTGTAAAATGAGCTGGAGAAGGAAGTGGCAACCAGTATCTTTGCCAAGAAATCCCAAATGAGATCACAAAGAGTTGGACAAAACTGAAAAATGACTGAACAACAACAAAAAATTGCATTTTAAAGGTAGCTATGTGGTTCTGTGGATAGAGCATTGGGCTTGGAGTCAAGAAGTCCTGAGTTCAGATCCAGCCTTAGACACATATTAGATGAGTGAGTCTGAGCAAAGTCGGTTAATATCTGTTTGTCTTTGTTTCCTTAACTGTAAAATTGGGATAATAACAGTACATACCTATCTTGGAGGTTTGTTGTGATGATTGAATGAGGTAAAATTTGTAAATTGTATAGTGTCTGGATCACAGAGACTATATAATTATTGATCTCTTTCCTATGAATAGCTAAGAAATATGCATATTTCTGTTTCCATTCATTAATCTTCTCTAAGGTCGGTTTTATCCAATTTTTCCAGAATTCTATGCCAGTCATTAACGTTTTAGGTTGTTCCCCTCTCTCCCTCCTTCCACCGGTAGTTGAGGGACGAGGTATATTTAAATTGAAATTCCTCATTATTTTTATGGTTCTATTGCCCATTTTCCCCTTGTCATCAATTTAGCTTTTTTCTTTAAATATTTAGAAGTTTTGATAGTGTTACATTTATGTTAGGTATTTAAATAGAATTACTGTGCTTGTTACCTTGCTGTTGACTTTTCTGAAGTCACAATTGCTGCTTTTGATTTTCTTTTCTTTTTTTTTTTTTTTTTTTTTTTTTGGTTTTCAGTTGAGATGTAATAGATTTACTAGGATCCTTATTTTAACCCTATATAGATCTTTATGTTTCAAGTATGTTTTTTGTAAATAATATATTGTTGGATTTTGTGTTGTAATCCATTTTGTGAACCTTTTTCATTTTATGGGCGAGTTTATCCCATTCACAGTTAAGATAGCTAATTGTTTATTTTCCTCCATCCTATTCTCTTATACTTTTTCTTTTGTATACTCACCTCTTCTTGTTTATTTCTAGTTAATACTCTTTCTTTTTTCCCACTTTTATCCTTTTCATTACCTCCTTTCCAAACTTAGTCTGTTTTGCTTAAATAATATTTGTTATAAGGATAGTGCTTTGTAACCCTTAAAACATCACATAAATGGGATCCTTTAAAGAGCCTTTAGGTAAGCACATTCTTAATATGTGAGAGTAAATTAATTACAAGCCACAAATACTTAATGATTAATCTATTTTAGGGAAAGACCACTTGGATAGTTTAGTGAAGGAGGAAGAAGAAAACTACTCTCAGTTTTTTATCCTAATAGTACTGCATGAAAATTTTTTGAGTCGCTTTTTCAAAAATGTTTGACTTCCCAGAAATACAAGAGGTAGAGGTGGTACACATAAGGAAGTCAAAAGATTTAGTGCTGAAAAGGACCTTAGATTTTGATTCCAACTCTCCTGTTTCATAGGTGAAACTGAGGCCTAGAGAGATGAAATGATTTGCCTGAGGCTACACAGGTAGTAAAAATAATAGATTTAGGATTGAAACCAAGGTCTTCAGACTCTTTCCATTAACCACTTAAGCATCTTTAGTGTCCGTGTTTGTAGAGCCACATTAATACTGTATTGGAAATAATTAATGCTGTATAGAATAGGGAGAAAAATGGACTTATTTAGTTTTTAGTGGCTCTTGAGCTGGTTTTCCATAGCTATCCTGATTGTCACAGCAGTAAGAGGTGGCTAAATATATGCCTCCTTTTGTTTGTAATACAAACCTGTTTTAGTTTTGGAACTATTTGGTGTTGTCAGATCTAGTTTATGTGGTTAAGGAGAGTCAGGAAGGGGCAATGTTGCATTCTGGAAAGATGGCAAAGTAGGTCAGAAATTTTATAAGAACGGCTAAAAAGAAGTTTATATAGAATATATATATATAGTATATGTATTATATACATATTACCTATTCTTATGATTCATAAATAGTATATATGTCTATATATAGAGAGAATAATTTTACACATATATACCTATTTGTGTCTAATGATAGCCATCATGGTGGGGGGGGGAGAAAAAATTTACACGATAATTTTGTTGTATATTTGAAAGAAATACAAGTTATGCACAGTAGATTTGCAGTTCCATGTACAATCTTGTTTTTTTATTTTACTGTGTTATGGAAATGCTTGTTTTATTACATAATTTATTACATAAATTAGAAATAAATAAAGTAGAAGTAAATTTTTAAAAATTTTTTTAAAAGGCAGAAAGAAAGACATTTGTATGAAACACTAAAAAAAAAAAAAGCAATCTCTTTAAGGCAAATATACCTTATTTCCTAGGAGGTGATTTTACATGATGATTGTGAGAGTTTTGAGATTGAAAGCTGGGAAACCTTGATAACCAGGACTTTCCTGTTACTGAAAAACAATTGTATATAGCCTCTGTGTCATATCTGACAGAAATGAGTATTTTTGATTTCTTAAGTTGTAGATGGTTTACCTCACTAACTTGAAAAAGCCTTGATTTCAAGCAGGAGAGAAATCAGAAGAGAAGCTAGGGATATAAAAGATGGAAACTGATGAGACAACCTGCTTATAGAAGCAAGACATCAGAAACCAATGGAGTTGAGAAGATGACAAGAGCATAGCCTGTTTGAGACCAGCTAACTACTCAGATAAGCTCCTCCTGATGTGAGGAGCTAATCTGATTGGAAGAAGGCTCTGATGGGGGAGCTGATGAGAAAAAAAAAATGATCTTTTGTTTTTGAAGCGCTGACTGTGGAAAGGCTGCCTTACTCTCTAGGTCCATCTTCAGCTTTGAGAGAAGATAAACCTCTCATAGGCTGGCCTGCCTTGCTCTTTATTTGTCTTTTGTAGCACAAAAGAGAAAACAAAGCCAGAGAATGGACCTGAGTAGCCACAGATTGCAGGCATATAGGAACTACTTTTCTAAAAGTGCTTAACACACAATTTTGGTGGCTTGTGAATATCAGAGAAGCAGCTTTATCACAGCGGAGAGACACAGAAGAGGGGCAATTGCACCAGCAGGTGACTCAGGGTACAATCTGTTCCTTAAAGGGACCAAGGACATCAGGCTTTGAAGCCCAGAATTCACTGAGCCTCAATTCTAGGTATCTGTAATTTGTGCCCATTCTTCTCCATTGAATGATGTGTGCATTTGTGGGAGAGAGTGACCCAGTGTACCAGGTTTTTGAGTGGACTGTTATATTATGATTATTATCACTTTGTGTTCTGGTAGTATTTCATATTTATGAGTTAACACTATGAGCTTGGCTGGTTTGTTTAAATGGGAAGCACACTGATCAGTACTCATGAACTAGAGTTGTAAATAGTAGACGTACATTTCCCCCATACCAGGGTTAGCCCTTGGATCCTGAGAGCAGTATAATGTCTCTTTTTGAGGAACCCTAATCTGCTAATCTGGGTACAGGTGGGGTGAGCCTCAATCTAGGAAGACAAAGAGCCTTAGAGAGAAAAGTTGCCTGGGCAAGTCTGGTGATAATAACAGTTTTACCACAGCAGTAATTATAACAGGAAGCAATAGACTTTGATTTATGTTGCAATGAAATCAGGCCTATTTTTGAAAATAACTTCATTATTTTTTAGCTTTTTTTTTTTTTCCAGAGCAAGACTATCAGAATGACTGTGGCATGAAAAGGCTATATATTGAAGTGACTATAATTAAGGAAGAACTAGTATTTTGGCTATAAAATATTTATGCTTTAAAATGATATATTTCGAATATAAACAAAATCCTATTATGATTAACATTTTAAAATATTTTAAATAGTATGATAATTAGATATTTTCTGGTGTTATGAAGTGACCTTTTCTATAATTTGTTTTATATTCTGACTTTTTCTTCTATAGGAAAAGGAAGAATTAATTGAAGAGTGGCAGCCAGAACCTCTTGTTCCTCCTGTTTCCAAAGACCATCCTGCTCTTAACTACAACATTGTTTCAGGGTAAATATAATTTGCCTACTCTAGAGAATTTAAAAGCTCCAGTTTAGTTGCTGTATTTGTTGGAATTTATAATGTTCCTTTCCTATCTAGAAATACAACTGAAATGTTGTATTAGTTAGCTTCAGCAAAGAAGGATGTTTGTTTTGTTTTCTTTGTATAGTTTCCAATGTGTTAATTATTAGGTTTATCATCTGCTATCACAGACTCCTTTGGTATAATTCTTGTAGCATAGAAGTTGACAGAGTCACAGATTTTCTCAGGTGTTTTTGTTTTTGTAGAATGGAGGGAGGATTAAAAAAAAAAGGAAGCAGAAGTGAGAATTAGGAAAGTTAAGTTAGGTCCTGGGATCTGGACTGTAGGATGTAGAAATAGGATATGGCAGCTTGATATATTACCAACTCATATGGACATGCATTTTGAAAAAGAGGCAAGTGAAGTATGGAAGTTATAAACTGATATTAATTTGTGGAAAAAGTAGTTGGGAGAAAAAATCTTTACACTTATATAAAAAATTTTGAATCTTTTTTCTCAATCCAGTTAAAGGTGTTAAGCTATTCAGATATCACCTTTTATTACTTAGCCCCCTGCAGTCACATTCAGTTGTCATATTTCTTTGCAGATGAAAAATATCTAGTTACTCCATGGATATTATTATTTTGGTAAGAGTCTTAGAAGGAACTTGAGAAAAAAATGAATAAAAAAAGTATAAGACTCTTGAAAATAAAAATCTTCTACTGTTGCAGCTGTATTCAGATATATACTATTTTTTCTGTAATATTTTCCCTCAATTTTCCACTTGCTTTCTGAATTCACTGAAATGAAATTGCCAATTTTAGAAAATGGAATCTATCCTGCCCCTCTTCCTCTGACTTTTCTTAACTTTTTATTTATTTTTTGGTAAATTTTTTACTTTTAAATAGAAAATGAGGAAAGAGAACAAAATTGTCACATACACAGCAGACCATAAGAAAAAACTCATTATAAAACAATATATTTCCATTTCAAGAAAACCTATATAATAAATAAACTACACATTGTTTTCAAAGCTGCCCAGCTTTTGTTTTCTTCTTGTTGGTTTTCTTTTGTTCTCTGCTATGTACTTTTTACTTTATTTTTTCTCCTTCTTCCCTCCTCACCCCCAAAGAAGGCTACAATTAAGCGTGGAAATATATATACTTATACATAAATGTCTATAAACATATACATAAATACACATATATACTCATACATATATATTTAAGACTATACTATGCTTATTTCTTTTTATCATCTGTTTCTCTAAAGGTAGATAGCATCTCCCTTCATAAGTCCAAGTCTTTCCATGTTCTTCTAAATCAGCCAGCTCATCTTTCCTATACCACAGCAATATTTCAACCTAGTCACATCCTATCTGAGAGATTGTCTGTGGAAGTTTTTTTGCCAGTTTTCTACATTCCTTCTGTTCTTGGCTACATGTGTTTTATTCATACAAGAAAATTTTAATTTAAAAAAATAAAAATTATCCTTTTTACACTTCAGCAATGCTCTCACCTTATAATATAGTTTAATGTCTGATACTGCTGAATCTATTCCTTTTATATCTTTTTTCCCCAGTTTCTTTGAAGTTCCTGACCTTTTGTTTTTCCAAATAAACTTACCATTTTTTCTAACTCAGTAAAATAGTTTTTTAGTAATTTAATTGCAATGACATTGAATAAATAGATTGGTTAGGTAAAATTGTCATTTTAAAAAATTATATTGGCTTTACCTACCCATGAAAAATAAATATTACTTCAGTTATTTAAATCTGAGTTTACTTGTATAAAAATGTTTTGTATTTATGTTCATGTACTTCTTGTTTCTATTTTGACAGGTATATGCTCAAATATTTTATACTGTTTAGGTATTTTAAGTGGTCTAAAACAATATTGAATGATGCTGACACATAGTATAGGTTCTCTGTTTTTCACTTTTGATTAAATCTGTTTTAACTTTAACTTTGTCTGAGATCATGATTACTGTCCCTGCTTTTTTTATGTACTAAATTCTACTCCTGCTCTTTATTTTATCTTTGTGTGTATCTCCTATTTTTATAATGTTTCCTGACTGTTGAATTCATATTTTTAATCTGCTATCCATTTCCATTTTATGGTTAAATTTGTCCCATTCACATTCTAAGCTACAATTACTTGTGTATTTTCTTCCTTCCTATTTTTCCTTACTATCCTTCTCTCTATCCTGTCCCTCCTTACTCCTCTGCTTTACTTCTACTGCTACCTTGCCCTCCTATACTTTAACTTACCTCACCCCTCTAAGAGCCCCTCCCTTATCCTATCCCCCCACCATATCCACTTGCCCTCTTATTTCTTTCTGAATTAAGAAGACTTTTATACCCTTCTAGATATATGTATTCCTTCTTTAACCCAAGCTTTTTCTGTATCAGTTTTTCCTTTTATGCTTCATTTGCATGAGATAATTTACTCCTTTTTATCTCTTCCTACACAGTTTTAAATTTTTAGAATCACCTGATCATACTTAGCCCAACTCATGCCTTTCTTTCAAACTCGCCAAGTAATGATGACAATCATAAGAGTACTGCTAATATTTTTACATATACAAAGTAAACAATTTGACCTTATTGGGTCCCCTATTATTGGTCTTTAATGTTTACCTTATATTTCTCCTGGATGTTGTATGTCAAATTTTCCCTTAAGTTCTGGGGGTTTATCACAAAAAACCTGAAAGCCTTTAAGTTCATTAAATGTCCATTTTTTTTTTTCCATTCAGGATTATACTTAACTTTGCTGGTTGAGTGACCCTTGGTTATAACCCTAGCTCTTTTGCTCTATGGAATACAATATTCCAAGACCTACAGTCCTTTAGCATAGTAGCTGCTAAGTCTTGTGCAATTCTTCTTGTAGCTCCATGACATTTAAATTGTGTTGTTTTTTTTCTTGTTGCTTCCAATATTTTCTCCTTAATCTGGGAGCTTTGAAACTTGGCTAAGATATTCCTGAAAGTTTTCCTCCTGGCATCTCTTTCAGGTGCTGATTGGTGGATTTTTTTTTTCTGTTTCTACTTTGCCTTCTTGTTCTAGAACTTCAGGGCAATTTTCCTTGATAATTTCTTATAATATTGTATCAAGATTCTTTTTTTATCATCATTTTCAGGTAGTCTTACTATTCTTATATTACTTCTCCTGGATCTGTTCTCTAGGTCAGTTGTTTTTCTGATGAGATGTTTCAACTTCTCTGTTTTTTTTTTTCATTCTTTTGATTTTGTTTTATTATTTCTTGGTGACTTAGACTGTCATTATCTTCTCCTTGCCCAATTCTAGTTTTCAAGGAATTATTTTCATCCTTAAGTTTTTGATTCTCTATTTCCAGTTGATTGACTTTTCATAATTTTCTTGATTTTCTTAAATTGTTCTCATTTTTTTCTAATTTTTCCTTAATCTCTCTTATTTGATTTTTAAAGTCCTTTTTTAAGTTCTTCTAAGAACTTTTTGTTTTTGGTGCCATTTCACATTTCTCACTGAAAAAGGAATGGCTTTTTTGGCTCCATTATCTTTCTCTGAATATGAATCCAGATCTTCTCTATATCCATAGTAACTATCTATGGTTGGGTTTTTTCTTCTTTGCTTACTCATTTTTATTTATTTATTTATTGTTTTATTTTGTTTTTAGCAGCTATTAGAGTAATCAGGTTGTAGACCCAAGGTATGGAGAATGATGCCCCAAGCCTCTGGTCCTTCTTACTGTCATTTTCTGAGGTCTGTCTCAGGGCTGAACTTTAGGCTGTCCTCCTCACAGCTAAGGTTCCCAGCCACCCTGCCCTGCACATGATCTTGCTCCCTTTGGTCCCTCCGGTGGCTGCAAACTACAGCTCTCTCTCTGCCTTGGAATTGAAATAGGGGACTCTGCCCTCCTGCAAGTCCCCACAGCTGACAGGGTCCCTTACCCTTGCTACTGCACTCACTAGGTGTGTGCTAGCTCCTTTGCCCTGCAACCACAACCCAGGATGCATCTGGTTAGCACAGCCGTGCTTGGAGTCCCTGGACAGTGGAAGGTCTGATCTCCCTCCCCCGCCCACACACACACTGTCAGGGAGATGAAAGTTTCTAAGTCTGAGGTTGTCTCTAGATCCAGCTGCCCCCAGGGTTTGTTGTTTGTTAATTCAGCATAGTTGGTGTCTGAGTTTCACTCTGGACAAATCTCTTCCCTGGAGGTTGGGTGTTTTCTGGGGTCTTCCCATGTTTTCTTAGGAGAACAACTGCTTTACCCTGTTTTTATTTCTGCTGCTCTGAGGTGATGTTCTGGGTTTTTGTTTTTTTTGTTTTGTTTTGTTTTTTGGTTGTTTGTTTTTTGTGGAGGAAATTTGGAGAGCCATCTTCCCAGAATCCTCACCCTTAACTGTTTATTTTAAAAAGCTACTTAACTCCTAAGAAAGTGGTGCTTCTTTCAAACTTTGTGTTATTTCTTCCTGAAGTTGGATTTAAAGCTAATGTAAACAATTTACCCATCTTAGTGTACTCTTTATTTACTTTCTTTTTTTCAGAACAGTAAAACATAGGAATATTACCTATATTATACTTAGGAAATAGTAAACTGTTCATTGATTAAGACTTGAAGGATGTATATATTTGAAATTTGTAATGACCTTTAAGTGTGATGTTTTGATTGTTAAGATATAGGAAATACTTGAAGTACTTGAAGTACTTAAGGTATTGATGAACAAATAAGATAATTTATATAAAGTGCTTAACAAAACTTCAAGCTCTATATAGATGTCAGATATTCTTATTTTTTGTTATGTAGGAGAAATTGGAATATCAGTATGCAGATAGAGCACAGTGGTAAAGGTGATGTCTTTCTAAATTGGGTGATGTTGTATTTGGTGTCCCTAATATGTGGATTTACATTTTTAAAATTATTTTTCTTTTTTTTTTCTTAGCCCTCCAGGCCACAAAATTGTGGTAAATGGAAAGGAGTGTATAAACTTTGCATCATTTAATTTTCTTGGACTCTTGGATAATTCTAGGGTAAAGGTAAGTAATTTACTGATAACATTGTTGACTTCTAAGATAAGCCACAATTAACATCTCTTGAGTCTCTATTCTTTGAATATAAAATGAAGTAGCTGAACTAAATAGTTGTTTCTGACATATATTTCAACTCTGAATCTATGATCCTATCATATACTGACCATATGGTTAGTCAGTTTTTTTTCCAATTGTTATTTAGTTTATGTTTTCTTAGTACATTATAGTTATTATACTAAATTTTATCTCATTGGCTTAGATTCACTGTTTCAAAAAAAAGCACTGGATTTGTTGTCAGAGAACTTGGATTCAAATTCTGGCTCACTTACTATTTGTATTAGTTACCCTTTCTAGATTTTCTTGATCTTTAAGGTGCCTAAAGCAAATTGTCTCTAAGTTTTTTTCCATGTATAATTTATGAGTAGAGATAAGTAATCTGGATTTAGTGGGTACTGTGTGCTGCACTGGTGGGAGAGAAAGCCAGAGAATTATGTAAGTTTGGTTTTCAATAATTGGCAATTATAGATTTTGTTGGGGAGCTGCTGTGTTCTTTCTTGGAATGGAGAGCTTTAATTATTAAGCTCTAAAATTTAACTTTTCTGTATGTTTAGGCTTCTGTCCACATTTTGTGCTTTTTCTTATTTCAAACTACAGATAAAATTGGGATATTGATAATCACATAATTGTTAATTCAGATTAAATAATAGGAAATATCAATTTTTATTCATTAAATTTTCTTTTTAAATTTTTTTTTAATTGTAAAGGAAGCAGCCTTAGCATCTCTAAAAAAATATGGTGTTGGGACTTGTGGACCTAGAGGATTTTATGGCACATTTGGTAAGTATGTCTTTCACATTCTTTTTAATTCACTTGTTTGCAAGTTATTAAGTTAAAACTTTTATACTAAGCTTTCCCAGTATTTTAGGAAAGCACCAAAACAACACTCACTGATTATTATTTGATTTCATCTTAGTAAATGAATACTGTGTTACTTTTTTCACTTCTTAGTATTTTTTACAGTTCGATTCTAGAATGAAGTTATGAAACAAGTATAAAACATTTTATTTGGTCCAAAGTTGACTGTGACTTGAAATGAATGAAGCCATAAACATAAATTTTTATGTGGTAATTGGTCAGATGTTTTTAGGGAATTACCATGAGAAGGAGTGTATTCTTTTCCCCTTTCAGAAGGGGTAATGAGGAAACATTAATTTCTTCCTACAATTCCTAGGGACAGGCTCAGAAAATAGTTTTGTAAGCTATTGATTTTTTTTAACCTTTATAAGGCTAATTTATACAAAGAACTTGTACATTAGTTAGCTATTACTATTCTATGGTTATAATCAACTGAACTGAGTACACTAAAAAATATGGTGGCGAAAATACTATTGCTCATTATCAGCACATCACTAGTAAAATTAGGTTTTATCTGAGATAGGACATTAAGTGATCAGAAAAGCTTCAGTTTGAAGATTAGAATAATTAGCCAGAGACTATGAAATCTTTGACATTAGAAAATCATCAAATATGAGCTTGATGCTTAAACTTTGTGGCTAAATATATAAATTTTAAATTTGATTTATCAATACTAAAGATCTTTAATTCGAAATAATGTTGAATTTGCTAAAATTAATATATTATTTGAAATGATATTTCTAGACGCTAAGACCTAGATGCCCAACCTTTGTATTCCTTCAACTATATTAGGAAAAGGAGAAGTGTACCTTGCAGGTGCTCCCTGTATTTCTTATTCCCTTTATTTCTACCCTGAGCGTCCAGATCTTTTTTATATTTTAGGGTGCTGTTTTGAAGTATAGATGGGCTTTAAGTTAATCAGCAATTATTTATTAAATGCCTGTTGTATGCTTTGGGAATATAAAAACAAAAGTGAAAAGTACCAGCTGTCAAAAGTACCAACCTTATTTAGTTAGCAATTTGAGGAGGGTTAAAGAAAGTTGCAGTGTAATTATGCCATATGAAGTCAAGACTAGAGAACTTTAGAGATTAGAAATAGCCTATGTCAGATTTTCTTTTTTGCCTCTAGTGCAAAGAGAACACATGGCAGTTCTTTTTTTAGAAGACATTGACTAAATATGGACAAGGAGCAGAAAAAGGTGGTAAAATCTTGTGCTACTGCTCTAGCCCATGAAGAAAAATTAAATACTGACTTTCCCAAGGACATGTAAGAGAGTGTGTTTTTCTGTACTTAACACAGGGCCTTCTATCCCCCATGAGATTGTAGCACTGATTCTTATGCCAAAATTAGATTTCAGGGTCAAAGTAGACAAAGCTAAGCTCCCAAGTTGATCCTGGCCTTTTTTATTGGTGGACTAAGCTTCCCATAAAGATCAGAGCCACCCCATTTATTTTTTTTAACATATATTTATTTGTTTTGTTGAATATTTCCCAATTACATTTAAAAGTTCTTATAACATTCATTTTTTAAAATTTTGAGTTCAAATTCTCTCCCTTCCTCCTGCTCCTACGCCTTGAGAAGTCAAACAATATGGTATGGATTATACATGTGAAGTCATATAAAACATATTTCCATATTAACCGTGTTACAAAAGAAAACACACACACACATACACACACACACACACACACACACACACACACGAAGCAGTTTTCATTATGAATCCATTACCTTGATCAGAGTCTTTCACAGTTGATCATTGTACAATATTGCTATTTCTTTGTACATTGTTCTCCCGGTTCTGCTCACTTCACTTTGCAGCAATTCATTTAAGACTTCCCACATTCTCATTCCATCCTTAGTTCAATTTCCTGTTACTCTCATATCGCCTAGTAAAATGATTTCCCAGTCCTACTAAAAGGACCTGAGCTTGACAGCTATATTAAGTTTAGTTCCTAGCTTTGTTCCCTGTATCTATCCATGATATCAGCCTAGTTTACTTCCACCTGAATTCAGACCATCTTGGGCAAAAGGTATTTCATGCATAAGGATTATTCGTTTTATAGAATTTATTGGAATATGTTCAGTTGCTAAGCTAAGAAAGTAGTTTTTATTATATAGGACCTTTTTAAAAAATTGTATTATGATATTTGTAATAGAATTTTTACTTTGACATGAAGACATTGCCTAAATTTTCCCCCTGATAAATCAAAATGTGACAGAAATGCCAGGGAATATCTTTAGTTTTTTGTGAGGAAATATACATTTTTTAAAAATATTGAAATTTATGATACCCTAGAAATTTTTCTGTGTAAAATAGTCTGTCAATTGGCATTCAGACTCAGAAGCTTTAAGTGAACTTTTACATTTTAAAATCAGCCATTAAAATTTTTTAAGGGCCACTAGAAGTCATTATAATTAGGTTACAGTTAGGTATCATAGGATCATACATTTAGGAATTGGAAAGGACCTTAGAAGCCATTGACTCCAGTACCTTATTGGGTATGAGGAAACTGAGTTTCAGAGAGATAGAATGCTTTCCCAGGGTCTCAAGGCTGATGAGTGTCCTAGAACAGGATTCAAACTCTGGTCTTTCTGATTGAGTCAAGTGCTCTATCCATTATCCCATTCCTCTGTAAATTTTACTGGTGTCTGTAGGTTTCTTAGTCTGAAACTATTGGGGATCTTTACATAGGTTTGTTCTGTCCTTATGTAAAGGTTGTAGGTTGATTTTCATCAGAGTTAAGATGGAGGATAATTTCCAAAAATTGTTGTCAAGTCTGGAGTGTAGAAAATGGATTTGTTGTGGGAAACTAACTGCATCTAAGACCAGAAAGTAAACTGTCAATGTATGTTCTTCTGTTTTCCTTACTTGTTTGTATTTATCATGAGTTACTTTGTAGGTGAATGTGTTGAATTGATTTCTCATGTTTCCTTACTAGTCTCTCTATGTAACATCTATGTTACCTTTTCCCATTTGTGCTTCTTTCAGTAAATAATGACCATATTTGTGTCCTTTGAGTTTCCAATAGGGATTTTTGGTTATATTAACAAACATTTTTTTTCCTTTTTCCACATTCTGTAAGGGAGATATCAGCCTTCTTTTACTGTTACTTTATATTTTTAGCACTAGGTTAATGTAAGAATCTCTAAACTCAGTAACTATTACAGTCAGCATAGTTTAGTAGAAAGAATACTGAACTTGGAGTCTAAGGTCCTGGTTTTGAATCCTAGTACTTCTACCTGTTACTTGACCTTGAACAAGTCACTGAACTTCTCTGGAACTCCGTTTTTTTCAGCTGTTGTGATAAATGATTTATAAGGTCCTTTATAATTCTTGTCATAGGATAGTTTAGAGTGGCATATTTCCATCTTTAAAATCATGATTCTAACTGTTTATGCCATGTATTCTGCCTTGCACTAAGCCTTAAAACAGATGGAAATTCCTTCCTACAATCTATGGTTGCCTCTTATCTTCATGATAAGACTTTGTTGACTTTTTAAGTCAACAAACCTTTCTTAAAAAGGTTTCTAAGGAGGCGGAGCCAAGATGGCACAGTAAAAGCAGTGACTTGCTTGAGCTTTCCCCCAAACCCCTCCAAATACCTGTAAGAAATGATTTTAAACAAATTCTAGAGCAGCAGAACCCACAAAAAGACAGAGTGAAACAAATTTCCAGCCCAAGACAACTTGGATGATTGATTAGAAAGGTCTGTTGCGCCAAGCTGGGAGAGAAACGCAGTTCAGCATGGGCGTGCAGGCAAAGACCAGGCCTCAGCGAACATGAAGCAGGCCTCAGGAGTCTGAATCATGGGCAGCTGTGGCAGTTTCCAGAGATTCCGCAAAGGAAAACTCCTAGAAATATTGTAGCCAAATTCCAGAGTTCCCAGGTCAAGAAGAAAATATTGCAAGCAGCCAGAAAGAAACATTTCAAGTATTGTGGGAACACAATCAGGATAACACAGGATTTAGCAGCTTCTACATTAAGGGACCACAGGGCTTGGAATATGATATTCCAGAGGGCAAAGGAGATAGGATTACAGCCAAGAATCACCTACCCAGCAAAACTGAGTATAATCCTTCAGGGGAAAAAATGGACATTCAGTGAAATAGAGGCTTCTTATGTTCTTGATAAGACCAGAGTTGAATAGAAAATTTAACTTTCAAATACAGGACTCAACAGAATCATAAAGAGGTAAACAGGAAAGAGAAATCGTAAAGGACTTATTAAGGTTGAACTGTTTACATTCCTACATGGAAAGATGATATTTGTAACTCATGAGACCTTTGTCAGTATTAGGGTAGTTGGAGGGAGAAAATTATATGTATGTATGTATGTATGTATGTATAGATAGATAGATAGATAGATAGATAGATAGATAGATAGATAGATAGATAGATAGATAGATAGATAGATAGATGGCACAGGGTGAGTTGAAGATGAATGGGTGATATCTGGAGAATAAAATTAAGGAGTGCGAGAGGATTATACTGGGAGAAGGAGAAAGGGAGAGGTAGAATGGGGTAAATTATCTCACATAAAACAGACAAGAAAAGGCTTTTACAGTGGAGGGGAAGTGAGGGAAGGTGAAAGGGAATGAGTGAATCTTATTCTCATTGAATTTGGTTAAGGAGGGAATATCAAAAAGACTCAGTTGGGTTTGGAAAGCTATAGTACCTTACAGGAAAATAGGGGGAAAGGGGTTAAGAGAGCAGGGGAATGATAGGGAGGAGGGCAGATTGGGGTAGGGGGTAATCAGAAGCAAACACTTCTGAGGAGGGACAGAGTCAAAAGAGAGAATAGAATAAATGGGGGGCAGGATAGGATGAAGGGAAATATAGTTAGTTTTCCACAACATGACTACTATGAAAATGTTTTGCATGACTACACATGTTTAACCTATATCGAGTTGCTTGCCTT